GGGCTGGGGGCTGCTGGCCCCTTCCCTCGGCCTCCGCCGCCTCCTTGGGAGGGCACCGCGCACCGATTGGCCCGTAGGAGCAACCCAGATCGCCTCCGGCGGAAAGCCAGGCCTACGTTCCTGCTTAACCTAAATAAGGCCTGCGAGCGGGGCCTCGGGTTTAGCCAGCGCTCTGCCTCCGCAGGGCCCGGGCTCCCCACCAAGGTGACACAGGCTGCGGTGCCCGGCCCTGCCAGGGCCCCTGCGTGAGCCGAGGAGGGCCGTGGCCCTTGGCAGGCCTGGTAGTTCGTCTTGCATCTCCCTCTGGTGCCTCGTTTTCCTAAGTGTTTTTTCTGGGGGGGTTGTTCTGGCTGGCACCTTGTTGTGCCAAGGCACTTTGTACTCCTGAAACCTGTGGCTGTGGCTTGAGGTGACTTGCCCAGCCTCCGTTGTGCGATTGTGTGGGTGTGATTTGGGAAGAGGGGTTACAGGCAGGTGCACAACTGTCCTAAACCGCAGGTAGCTCTGGAGATATTAAGGCAGAGCTAGAGAAGTGCATCTTTTGCACCTTCTTAGCATTTCTCGCTTGGAATTTGAAAAAGCTTGTGTTTGGGATTGTCGGCTTCTGTGCCTAGGCATGGTTGACATAAACAACTGAGGTCCTGAGGTTTCAGATGTTCGGTGTTTCTGGATGCATTAGCAATATCAAAAGTGGTCACAGACTGGACGTAGTCTTTTTCCTTGCGTTGGGAGGTTACAGGTTCAGAGTTTAGGTATGCAGGCGTGTAGGGGGAGAGTGCTCATTGCATGAACTGAAAATGAAAGTGAAGGAAAACATCCTAACCTTTAAATTTCTTTTATATGTGCTTATTATAACTTCAGTGAAAAAGACAGAGTGAAGAAAAAATAAAAAGACAGCTCTATCTGTAGTTTGTTTCATGTGTTGTCCCCAAAATTTAGTAGCTTAAATGACTGTTTTTTCCTCTAGTTCTGTTATTCCTTCTGGAACTGTGAGGTTCAGGATCCCAGTACTCTATTTGGAAATGTTGCCAGTTAAAGAGCTCACTCATAAATGGCCAGCCATTTTCTGTCCTTGCTACATGCTGCCATGCAGTTGGCTGTGCTCAACATTGATAGCTGGGAGACTTTCTAAAGCAGGTGAAAAATGCTAAGAGCAGCGTGTTCTGTCTGGAATGGTACACTAACAGCCTTTGTGTGAATTCCTTGGCCTCTGTTCCACAGGTAAGAAGGATTCTGTATGGATGCTTTTAAAACAGGGCAGCATTGTTGCAAGCATATCCCTTTTGCGCCGCAATAAAGACTCAATACTGCGAAGATGTGATGGAAGCGATCTGGGAAGTTGTGTGTGATTTCTGTTGTAATCTTAATAGCTTTGCTTATCAGATTAAAAAAAAAAAACCAACTGTAAAAGCTGCTGAAGCAGCAGTAATTCATACTTGGGCTATTTTTAATCTCCTTGATCTTGCAAGTAATGGATAATGAATGAAAACAAAAACCCCATGCATATGTGTTCATTCTACAGTATATAAATATATCTCTCTTTTGATCTGGACAGATCTGGCGGCCGATAACTGCAACTTTCTTCTTCCCAGTGGGACCTGGAACAGGTTTTCTCTACTTGGTGAATTTGTATTTCTTGTATCAATATTCATCACGATTAGAAACAGGTATGTTATCCATTAAATTGTATGCACATGGTGAACTCTGCCCGGAGTTGACAGGGACCAAGCATTGTCACAGAGAGCTTCTTTTGGGAATGTTTGTGGCGATGGGGTTGTGGCTGATTCAGACAGAATCGTGAGAAAGATGGCTCATCTCTGTGCCCACTTACGTTGGTCAGTGGGAAACTCTGAAAACTGATTTTCTGCGACTGGCTCCTCCCTTTGGCAGGGAGCCTGTTCATTCAGGGTCTGAACTTGATACTCCTTTCAATAGGAGGGCCTGGTGCTTTTAGTTGTTGGATTTCAGGAAATGAGGGAGAGATTAAAAGATGACGTTACCTCTGTTTTCCTGTGTCTGATGTCCTTTTACATGGAGGGATAATAGAACATATGTAGTGGGTATATCCCTCCTGAGAAAATAACAATGTCAGTTTCTCCTTTTTGTAAAAGGCAATGTTGCTTACCTCTGTTATTGTATCCGTTATGTTGAATTGAGAGATACCTTGTACAAATGAAGTGTATCCCTCTGTCAAATAGAAATGTGAAAAAGTTAAGGAACTAGTTGGATTTTCAGTTAGGCGGAAAAATTAAGAGTAGAAGAAAGGAAATTAAATAATAGATCATTACTCTCAAAAAAGAGATTGCTGTTACAAGGTAGCTTCAAAACTGGTTTCATTTTGCATTGCACAGTTCATTAAAACTAACGAAAAATTGTTTCCATTGATGTAAATAATTAAAGTATTTGCAAAGCCAAGCTCCTCCTGAAAGCCTTTATGAACAAGAATTTCTGTGTAGTTCTAATGGAGTCTTAGAACTGATGGTGTAAGTGGAAATGTATTGCAAGGTGATGTTTGGGAAGTCCCATGACAGAGAAGAGATGCCTGGTAAACCTGGCATCCAGAGGGTATTGTGGAATCCTATTTAAGTCGTAAAAAGAGTAGCAAGAAAAAGGAGGAGTGGTGGCAGATTGTATTTGGTTGTTTTATTAGTGAAAGTAAGTAGTAATTTAATAGCTAGAAATGGTTCCTCCTCCTCTTTGAGCCTTCCTGCAGTAGATTATGAACACGCAAGTACTGGCAGTTACAACATTCTACTGTGCAAAACTATGTGTAGTAAGAGTTCCTGATTAATATATGCAAATTATAAGACATCACTGCTTGTACATATACTTACAAAATGCTCTAGTTATCTGTGCTGTGGCAAAAGCCTCACGGAAGGAAATCAATTCTTTCAGCAGTAAATTTACATTCCTGTTGTACAACACATCTGGATTTTGAAACTGGAAAGTCAGCTGTGTTGTTGTGTGAATCAATGCATTTGTTTTATATTACAGTCATTTTTCTCGGTATAAATGAAGTTCTTGGTTAGGTCGGTCCTTCCTCTCTACAAAAAGGGCTTGAATCCTTTTGAAAGTGGGAGGTGTGTAAGTTGCTGATTATATGTTTACAGATAGAAATCAACATAGGTCTATGCGTCCTTTTGTCTGTGAAACCGAGGAAGTGAAACTTCTATTTTCAGGGTTGTATGTGGTTTTTGAGCATGCACTGGTGTTCCATGCTGGCTTCAAATTTAGCTGTCAAAAATACCCACATGGTTTTGTAGTGAGCTTGTGCTTTCCTAACAAGTTGACCTCTAGCTTCCTGAGGAACAGGAGATTGATGTGTTTTTGGTTTGTTTCTGTTGGAGAAGAACACAACAAATATCAACAGAGAAAGCAGAATATGCAGAGTTCGCTCCCCAGCAGTACGAATGATGAGATGATGAGTCTGCAGCTCTTCCCTGATGACTGAATTATACCACGGTCCTTACTGAAGGACCCAGTGGGCTAGAGCTCACCTTGCCCCTGTGCTGAGCTTTTTGGTAGTCTGTAGCTCAGCTCTTTCAGATATTCATTGGAAAGTCAACTTAAACGGTTTGTCTAATATTCTTTTTAGTAATCTCCTAGATAACGAGAAGTGAAAAACTTTAAGGGAGTAAGATTTGCTTTGATTTCTTCGTATTCTGGAGGAATACCCATGCTGGAGTTTCTACAGGGTTAGTCAGATACCTCTCTTTATTTATTTCTATTTGTTGTATGGCAACAGTAAAGAGAAAACTCCAGTTTATGTAGTTCTCCAACTTTAAAACTTTTCAAAAGATTTTTTCAAAATTTGTTTTTTTTTCTTCCTGTTGTGTAACTTGCATGGATGAACTTAAATAATAAACTTAAAATGACTAAAATATCAATTTTGTTTTGCGTAGGCTGAGTTACTCTAGTTATTCTAAAAAGCTAAGGCTTAAAAATAGATTTTCTTTCTTTAAATTTTTGGGGACATTTAAAATAGTTGTAGGAAGCCTAATAGTGCTAACATTAAGCCATGGCCTTCTTTCTAGGCATTTTGACGTTTAATTATTAGCATGTAATTCAGCTTGTTCACCTTGTTCGTGATGCGCTGTGTTTGTCACTGTGTGGTTTGGGTCTGTTTCAGCAGTATTCTCGGGCTCCCCTTTCCTGCATGGAGCTATATGAAAGTTGATAGGAGTCTTGCTCAAATGCCGAGATCCGTGCCAGCCTTTTACCACAGTTTGCAAACTGTGTACCCTCCTTGTCGTGTGTGTTGATTTTTCCAGAGTGTAAAATCTATCGTGTATCTCTTGAGACTGACTAGATGATGCAAAGAGGATGCAATTTGCCTAAGTAAGGACTGTTTTTCACATGACTTGGTCATTAAACTTGGTGTCTCTGCTTTTGCTGTGCAAGTGTATTGCTTTATTGTGTGCTTCTGGCTGGCAGCTTCTTATGAAGGATGGGATCCAACTCTGTTTTGAAGTCCTGTGAAGTTAAAAGCACTTATCTCCAGAGTTAAAGTGTGTTCTTTGAGTAGAGCTGCTGTGTGTGCATTAATGCAATAGGCTGAATGACTTTTTTTGGGGTCTTGTAGGTTGTTCTATTATAAGGCCTTTTAAAATTAAAAAAAAAAATCATAAACCACAGACTCCATAAACAGGGCAAGTGTTATTAACTGAGCTTTTATTAGACTCATAAAGTAAAAAAAAAAAAAGAAGTCTTAATTTCTTCTCAAGATTTAAGTACCTTTCCTAACAATTCTTTTTATTTACAGGGGCTTTTGATGGAAGGCCAGCAGATTACATGTTCATGCTTCTGTTTAATTGGATCTGCATTGTTGTATCCTTCTGCTCATCATCAAACTTTTGGAATATTTTGGTTCTTTTATTTCTGCCTAAAATATGTCCAAAGACCAGGTTTTAGCAATGTGCTGGTCAGGAATCTCACAAAGCTCAGCAAAGGGAACTGCAGAGTCCTGCCTCTGGGGAGGAACAGCCTCAGGCACTGGGACAGGCTGGGGACTGACAGTCTGCAAAGCATCTGGGCAGAAGAGGCCCTGGGGCTCCTGCTGGACACCAAGTTGACCGCGAGCCAGCAATGTGCCTTTGTGGCAAAGGTGGCCACCAGCCTCCTGGGCTGCATTAGCCAGCAGGTTGAGGGAGGTGATTACTCCTCTCTGCTCAGCCCCTTGTGAGACATATGGGGGGCTGCATCCAGCTCCAGGTTGCCAAGTACAAGAGAGAGGTGGACATGCTGGGGTGAGTCCAGTAAAGGGTCATGAAGATGATTAAAGGGTTGGAGCGTCTGTCACGTGAGGAGAGGCTGAGAGCTGGGATTGTGCAGCCTGGAGAGCAGGAGGCTCAAGGGTGTCTTATCCATGTGGATAAATACCTGATGGGGAGGGAGTAAAGGAAATGGAGCCAGACTTCTCTCAGTCGTGCTCAGTGGTGGGACAAGAGAGAACAGGCACAAAATGAAGCACAGAAAATTCCATTTAAATGTAAGAAAGACCCTTTTTACTGTAAGGGCAGTCAAACACTGGCATGGGTTGCCAAGAGAGATTGTGGAACCTCCATCCTTGGAGATGCTCCCGTTCTGTCTGTGCTGTTGCTACCTCCTTGTAGCAATTTGCAGTGGCACAGCATGTGGAAAAAAGGGAGTGGTGACATCAGTGTGAACCACATACAGCCAGGAAAGCTAGTGTGTAGAAATGCTGTCACCTTTATCAATAAATCTATTGATATCCATCTCTAGTAGCATTCCACTGTATGGAGGGATTTGCTATTCCTGCTAGTCCTGTGGAGCCCCAGTAGTAACTAGGAAAACAATATGGGTTTAGTTGTGTTATCATTCATTGTGGTTGCAAGCTGTTGGCTGTGAGCTGTTAGATGAATCTGATTGTGCCTTGACTTTCAAACTGGTAATTTAAAAGCTTCCAGTTGCTTGTTCTCTATATGATGTAAGGAGCAACCTGGATGCGTGATCTGGGAAAATGCTTGGTGCCATTGTATGTGCGTTCATGAACTGTTAAAAGTATTCTGATCATAGCAAAATTCTTCAGCAATTGTTTCTACTCAGCAGTTACTACAGCAAGTAGATCCTTTGGATTCCAAGGTAGGAGAATAGTATTAAAAGCCTGCATTGATGCACTTCAAGAAATTATTTCTTTTCCATGACTCAGTGGCAATATATTCATATTTTTTTATGATCTGGTATTTCTTTAGTTAGAAACCCAATATTTTAGTCTCTAAAAAAACTAATGAAAGAATCCAGCTGTTAAACCTCTAACATGCTTTTATGCATGGACCGATTGAGTTTGTCGTTAGCCAGTTTCATCATGGAGGGAAGGCCAGTGCATCCGTCAGCCCTCGGGGTAGTGGCTTGAGGTGGTGGCTTGAAAGGCTACTGAAAAGCAGTTATTGAAACTAAGCGTGTAAGCCTCCAGGTCATTGGAGGTTTTTCATTTTTTTCCAGTGGTTAACTTAACACTACAGAGGAACGCTGTTTTAATTTTAAACATTAAAGGCCTTTGCATGTGTGTTCAGTGTGTGTGCAGCATCTTTTTGTTGTTCTAGTCTATCAGGTTTTGCTGCATTTTCCTTAATGGTGCAATGACAGATAACTGGCTTGGCGATGGACATGCAGGTAAGTGCACTTTCCTAAATAATGATTTTATGGAACTTTCTGACTACTTAATGACTTTATAGAGACCGTATCAGCATAACTGCAGAATGTAGTTAAGGTGAGCTGGTTTAGTTTGTGTCAAAATGGACTGCTGTGTGTGTGTGTTTGGTTTTTTAGTTTGGGTTAGCCTCAGCTAATGTCACAAGCCTGTATCTGACTCTGCCACTCCTAACCTAGATAGGAAGTCAAGGAGTGAAAATTGGCTCTTTGTGCAGTCAGGAACTGTTCAGCCTTTTACTAAAATGGACAGAAGATGTCACCTGTGCACTGTTTCCTCTAATGAATGTGGATCTGCATTCTTTTTTATCTAAAAATGATTCTGGGGTTCATTAGTCTTTTCAAATTTAGTGTGCCTTTTACTTGCCAACAGCAGATCTTTTTGTGAAAAATGCAGGTTCAGATTCCGATTAGAACTGTGAAGTTCAAAATCCTGACAAGAATGATTAAAATAGTGGTCTAAAGAACCATTTTCAATGAGGTGGTTCTTATCCCCCCACATATTAAGGGGAAAAACGAGGGAGTGTTCCCTGGACACAACAGAGTTTCAGATAACTGCATGTCTTCAGCCTGCTTCTTCTGTTCTCTCGTTTTATTCTGTCCCTGTTACCCAAAGCCTGCACCAATATCTCTAATATTCTGTACAATATTATCTTAGCATTTATTAGATCACTTATCAGGCTCCCCTGGTAGACAAACATAGCGATCATGCATCCACAGTCAGGACTGAGTTCTGTTAAGGGCTGTCTATAACTTCACACTTAAACTTTTTTTGCTGTGGGGAAGACACCATAAAATTCTTCAAAAGCATGCTGAAGTTGCCCATACATTGTATGAATTTTAGACTGATTGTGTTAATTTGTATCTTTTTAAAAAGGTACTTAAAATGGTTTTATATCAGCATACAAAGTGTTGCTTAAAAGAGAAGCAGTTGTTTTATGTGCAAATGTGTTTTTCTTAGAAATAAGGTTGTTTTGCTTGTGTTGAGTGGTTTTCTTGAAAGGGAGACGATAGAGTAGGGCCTCTGTTCCCATGTCAAATACTTTCAGAAGTTAGATATTGCTTTGGTTTTTGAGTAAAATAAAAATTATTTTAATAAAGTCCCTAAGGTATTTGTGTGACGAGTCAGACTGCTGGTGCACCCTAGGGCTGGAGGAAGGCTGGACTGATGCTGGTGTGCCAGCTTTAACGTGGAACCTGTTAAATAGCAGCACCCCCGAAGGGATGAATTTTAACCTCTCTCCAAACACACAAGCTGGTTCGTAGCATTAAACCAGTTCATGGAAATGCTGCTGGCAGTCTGTCTTCAGTTTAGAGATCAGCAGATAGCTAAAATAGGGCTTTATATTTGTTTCACTAGAAATAGTCCAATCAGCTAATATACGGTCACAGTAAGGAGGTGTTTGAAACAGTCTCATCTCCTGGCATGGAGCACAGGTTAACTCTGAGCTCTACCAAGGTGGCTTTGCCAAGGCTGGCTGCAGTACTTTGAGACGGTGATTTACTGGTGCACCTTCCCTTTCTGGTGCTCTGAGGGAGACGTAGCTGGCAGTTCGATGGAGTAACACTTCATTTGGTGTATTAGCTTAGCCCCTGATGAGTACATTTGGGTTAGTGCCCTGGGTTGTGAGTGGAAGTGATTGTGGCACAAATATGTCGCTGACTGCTGTAGGTGTCCTACCAGGCAGCTAGGAGCAGAGGAGTTTGCCACAGCTGCTCTTTCACTTGGTGCAAGTTGGAGCCCTTTGCTTTGGCATGGCCTTGCAAAAGAGAATGACCAAGTAGGTTCTCCTGCTTAGCTTTCTCAATAGCTTTTGAACAGATGCATGACACATGATGGCAAAGATTCTGGGACAAACTTCAAAGATTTTGCTGATGTATCATGCTTACAAGCCATTTTTGAGGCTGCCTGTTTAAGTTTCTCAGGCTTCTGTTAAAGCGATGGTAACTTTTTACCCCTTTTTTTTTTTTTCTTTTTAAAACATTGCAGTTGCTGATGATTCCACTCATCATGTCGGTACTTTATGTGTGGGCCCAGCTGAACAAAGACATGATTGTATCGTTTTGGTTTGGAACAAGATTTAAGGTATGTCAGACAGGATATTGGAAAGGTTTCTGCCCCAAAGATGCACATGAAGGTGGTGAGGGGCAAAATATATTTTCCCTTATTAAAGATGTCCCATGCTTTCACATAAGTATCTACTCCTTGAGATGCAGCAAAGGCAAGTTTCATCATGGTCTTCCATACGGTGTCACTCAGTGTGGCTTTACTGAAAAGATGTCCTGACAACTGAAATTCATCTGTCTGAAAAGAGGAAAAAATTCCTGATTATGTTAACCTGCACAAAAGCTGAATGTAGCGACACTCTAGTGACAAAATGTTGATGTTTTAAATTGTCCTTTCCTGTGCAACCTCATCTGTTTCTGCCAGGTCTTGTAGCGAAGACTCTTTTGATCATTGTTTCCAGACCTTTTCAAAATCAGAAATATTAGGACTTTTTTTCAGATGTAGGCTTGCTGTGGAACATAGAGTGCAAAAGACGCATCTACTTATAATGTTTAAATGAGTATGATTTGTCTAAAAATGTTAGTGGTCGCTCATTTTGGAGTATCCTACCTTGTTAGGTAGAATCTGCTTAAGTGAATATATCAGGACTTGTGTAATGCCTAAAACACTGAGATTATAGTCATGCTTATTAGTGCAGCAGGAAGCTGAGCAGGTTTATGTCCTTAACTTGTACTTATAACTTCTCTGTCTCCATTGCATTCTTTTTCAGGCCTGTTACCTTCCATGGGTTATTCTGGGATTCAACTACATCATTGGTGGATCGTATGTATTTACTTATATGGCTAATTTGAAGTTATAAAAGCTTTTACAGCTATTGGACTTAGTGCTGAATTTATAAGCAATATTAAAATAAGAGGCTTAAAGCTGTATAATGTGACTGATAATGCTCAGTGTCACATGGTGGTCATTTAAGATAAAAGCAAAGAGGAGATGTGCATGTGAGAACTAGAGAATGTAGGTGAGGGGAAAGCAATAAGAATTTGGTTTATTTTCTAGTAAATCTATGCATGAGGCTTTTTCCTTACTAAAAGAGTAATGCACACAGTAAAGAAAGATGTCAGCCCATATGACAAACCATCATTACTGGTTTTAGAAACAAATTTAGCTTGACTCTGACAGCACTGTTACTTCTTTCCTTAACAGTCTCGCCCAGCATGATGTTTTTTTCAGCTTGTGAAACAAGGGAAAAAGGCAATAACAAGCCCACAGAGTGCCATATTAGCACCTGCTGAACTTGTTGGTCTGTCTTGGGTTTCTTTGACTAAACTCCGTGAAGCAGAAATCCCCTCCGTGCACGGTCTTTCCCATTGGTGCCCTGCGTTGGTTGGGGCCTCTTGGTGCCGCTGTAACACAATTAGTGACAATAGCAAGTTACGTGGTTGATTTATAAAAGGAGGAGATAGTACAGCAAAACCAAATTCCCTTTTCTGGCTGTGCCTCCTACTGACTCATCCGTCACTTGAGGAAAACTGCTTGCTGTTAGATACCTGCTGTTTCTATGCATGACAGAAGATACTCAGGGGCCTCCATTCAGCAGTGTTTTTGCAAAATTGCGAACAAAACAGTTCAGTACAGCAGGAGCCACGTTGTCCAGTGAAAACAGCAGTAAGTTCTCAAGCTCCACAGACTATTATTTTAGACACTAATAGCTGTACGGTCCAATTCCCTGATGTAAACAAGTATTTAATTGCATTTTCAGTACAGTCTGTAGAGAAGGCTTGGAAGGGAGGGTGGAACAGCCTGTTGATGTGTTGGCACTGAAGGGTGGCCCGTCTGAAGTAGTGGCTGCAAAATGCTGAGTGAAGGGGAAATTTTCCGTGGCTCATGGCCCCAGCAATGCCTGTGGCAGGTGAACAGTAGTACCTGGCAGAAGATGGTCACTTGTTTATTTTCAGTGAAGACAGCATGTGAAACAGTTCTTTTTCTTTTGCCTTGCAGAGTCATCAATGAGCTGATAGGAAATCTCGTTGGACACCTCTATTTCTTCTTAATGTTTAAATATCCAATGGATTTGGGAGGAAGGAATTTTCTGTCCACACCTCAGTTCCTGTAAGCTGCCTTTATTCTTTAGCTCACTGTGTGTTTGGTCCAATTTTCTGTATTGTTCAGCAGACACATTTGCTGGAATTGTAAGGTGTAAAATACGTTGCTAAATCAACCTGCTTCAGGCTATCGTATTGACTGTGCTGCTGAGTCATCAAAAATGTTGTTTCTTGTAAATGTGAAGAGTTCTTTGTTACCCCGTGGATGGTTTGTGTCCTTTGCCCACTCTTAAGAGTCAGGTTAAAAGTCATAATTCTGCTAGTGAATTGAGCTGTAGTAAAGAGAACTACCTAACAATTTTCAGACAGTATCAAAAAATTTTCTCCTGTAAATGATTTATCTGTATTTCCATGTATCATTACAGTAGCTACCAGTTCAGCAACCTGTAGCGATAATAGGTGTCAGTTGCAGACTTGTTCAGGACTGCAATATGTATTCTGGTTTGCAGTCAGTACCAGTCACCTTGACTGAGACTGCCAGGTCTTGGTTTCTGAGGCGCTTTTTCTTGCGATCTGTTTGTTATTTTGGCATTGAAATACTACGATCAGAAGCCAAAGTTTGTAGCTTCAGTTGCCCTTGTCCTCATCCTTTTGGGTTGTAAATATTCTTTCTCTACCAAACTTTAGTTAGCAACTCAGTTAACCCTTTTTATAGCATGAACTGTTAATTATAAGACATGAAGTTGAATTACAGCTATGCTTTCTGTACAAGTTTTAATGAGTGGGGAAGCTTTATATTCTACTTTTGTGTTTGCAAGCCCTTCTGGTAAACCTAATTTTCCATAAAGATTAGAAGACAAAATGTTTTAAAATATCTTTCAAGATAATAACGTCTCTAAAACTGCCATCAGTCTTGTTGGTTATGTGTAATTTTCTTGATTCTTTATATGTGTATTTAATTTTTCTCTATGTTTGAGAAGCAGGAACAGAAGCACTGCAAACATCTCTAAAGAGGGATAAATTCTGCCTTTGCACTGTAATGTTTTGTTAAAAAAACAAATTCTGTGATGAATTACAGATACCTTTAATATAATAATGGAGAACTTTTTCTATACAGGATCATTTTTCTCGTAGAAAGGAATCTGGGTTTCACGTCTGGGCCTCACATTCTTGTGGTCAAATTCAGCAAGGGATTTGCAGGAGCTCGGTGTAACTATTGTAGAGCTGAAATGACTCTGAATTGATGGCGTCCCTTGCGAAATGCAGAAGCTGTATTTTAGATCACTCTGTCTATTTAGATGGTAGCCTAAGCTGGATGATAAGTTCCTATAGCTCTGATTTGCTTGAGCTTTGATTTCAGACAAGCTAGTTGCTTGAGCCTGTTTCCCTTAGTCTCTTTGGCCCTCAGTTCCTCAGGAATGTTTACTTAGAGAGCAGTGAGATGGTTGGATGCTGTGATAACAGCAGCATTGTAACTATTGGAGAGAGAGATGCTCACAAGTGATTTGGATTTTTTTTTTTTATTTCCCCTGAAAAAAGGGAGAGAAGTTACAGGAATTAAGTTTGTATCACAGCATTTATTCTCAACAATGAGACTCCCTTATCATGTGTTTTTTTCCCTCTGTTTTGATTATTGTATCTAACCATATCTCAGAGATGGAAGTTCCCCAGAATTCCCATTTCTCAATGTGCTGAGGGCTTAGATTTGGAAAGAATTGTGTGAGGTACTGCTGTGGAAAGCCAGAGTTATTGCAAAGTCTAGCAGCTAAAAGGAATTGTGTGGAAAAGTAGTCTGGCTGTACAAGTACAAGTAGTCTGTACTGCAAGGTACAGCTGTTTCTCAAATTCTCTACTTCTCTCCTGGCTTGTCCTAGGTACCGCTGGCTGCCAAATAGGAGAGGAGGAGTGTCGGGGTTTGGTGTTCCACCTGCTAGCATGAGAAGAGCTGCAGAAGATCAGCAGGGTGGTGGTGGAAGACACAACTGGGGCCAAGGTTTTCGACTAGGTGACCAGTGAAGAACTCCTGCCCTTGGAAAACAGCAACTCTTTGGTTTTCGTTGGATGTAGGACCGACACTTCCTGGTGCAGAGCACACTTAAGAACTGAGCTCTCTGTAGTGCTGTTCGATTTAACTGATTAGAAAGAATGTTTCTGGTTCAAGAGAAAATTAAAAACTCCAGAAGGGAAAAATGTAGATCTTGCTCCAGGTTAGCCAGTAGTGTCCAATTTGATTCTGCCATTAAAAAAAGCCTTCTTTTATACAGTATTGTCTGTCTGTCACAACAGGCATCCATTACGCCGTCTTGTTCTGTGATGTGATAGAACAAGCTAATGGTGTTCTGTCTTGCCTGGTACGTTAAAAGCTTTGTTGACTGTGGTAAGGTAAGAATCCAGTGTGAGGCAGATGGATCAAACTAACCCCAAAGTTTAGGAAGCTGACTTTTTCCATAGGTGTGCTTAAGTCCCAGGGTCTTTGGAAACATTATTTAAGTGATATCTCTCTGCTGCATTCATAAAGTGAAGTGCAAATGTTTCATTTCCCTTATTAAGCTGTATTTTGAAGGGAGTTTTTTCTTGCCATGCAGCATTTGTTCTACCTGCTACAGCATGGGATGGGCAGAACTAAGGATAAGAGGGCTTTCATTTGAAATGGCAATAACAGATATTCACAGAATTGAAATCTCCGAACTCTTCATGGCGTGTTACAAGGCTTGCTCTGTTTAAACTGAAGTTGTTTTGCTTTTCTATTTTGGTTGCAAAACTGGGTAGCACAAATACTACTTAAACTAGAAAATATAACATATCATTGTGGTTAATGTAAAGGGTTCTGACTGCAGCATTATATTTAACTGAATCTTCAACTTCCTCTTAAAAGCTTTAAGACATCAAAGAATCAAAGCTGGAAATAAACTTTTCCAGGGTCAAGATACAATAGAACAGATTGCTTTACTATGGGACTCTTTCATTGTCAAATAAGAAATCATGTACACTGTTTATTAGTATCTGTACTTTTTTGGTAAGACTTTTTGACATGGTGAAGGGGATGATTCTGTACAGTAGTTTTCTTCGTACTGGGTTCCCGTGGGCAGAGCACAGGGCTAAGATGCAGGAAGCTGTAATGCTAGCTTGTTACTGACTCACTGCATGGACTTGAGCAAACTTCTTGCTTATCTCTGTTTTCGCAGCTGCAAGGAGGGCTTATGCATGTCTCATAGCGTTTTAAAAGGTGGCTGTCCCCGACTCCCTAGGTGGGAGCCGCTAGTGAGCAAGGTAAGGCTTAGGTTCACATAAACAACAACACTTAAGCTAGGAACACAATTACTCTAAGCTTAACCAAGACTTCTAAGTTGGAATATAGTTGCTCCCTTTTTGTTTTATAATTGGAGGAACAAGAGCACTGTCACTAGGATGAGATTAAAGACTGAATTTCCCTTTCCCTTTGTCTTTTTACTGGGTAGGTAAGGCACAGAGACTGTTCTGCCCCAACTTAGGTATCTCAGGTATCTATAAGTAGGTGAAGTGAATCTGGGCCAAAACATTTTTATTACTACTTTGTTTCTTCACTAAACCTGGGTTCTGAAGGTTTAAAACCTTGTAAATACTACATGATGTGAAACTGAGTAGAAAATAAGCAGTCGGACTGGAAGTTTTCAGCTGGCTTGCTTGCAAAAAAATGCATGCTCCGTTACTTCACTGCAACTCAATTTTGTTGATCCGGCTTGGGGAAAAATGTGGAAAACTGGAAATGATCATATTGTGGGCTTAGATTTTACAGGAACTTGGAGTTCAGAAATCACCTGCCATTTTTGTGTATCCAGTGTAAGTTTTAAAGATGCTCTTTTCTCTTCCTTTATGTGAAATGGTAGGTAGAAAAGAGGACTGCAGTGTTGTAAATACTAATCTGTTGTTGACCGATAGCTGTTATTTGACGCTAACTTGAAGAGTCTGAGAACCACCATTTTTATAGGAGTCATGATGCAGTTGATCTTTTTAGTCATAGTAAAATCACTGTCTCCGAAGCATTTGTCTTCATTTTGAGTCGGGACCTAACTGTTAAGTAAAGATGCAATAGTTGGTGACAGCTAAAACCCTGGCACACTCAAATTGCAGAACGTCTTTGTACAGAAGGCCAGAAGGAAAGCTTGGGTGGGAGGAGGGATGGCAGAAGTCATTGTCCTGGCCCAGTACACTGTGCTTTCTAGGCTTGCTTTCTAGTGCATCCTCCTTCTATAAATTAAGAGGAAAAGGTTTGCGAGGCAAATAGACTTTTGATAAGTCTTGATTAGCTTTTGAGCTGCTTCAAGTCAATTTACTTTGGTTTATGGACGATTCACTTCAGGACTCCATATTTTGAGCTCAGTTTGTTTTTTCTCTCACTTGTCACTTGACCTGAAGCACTGTTTGTCCTCCAGCGTACGCTGACAATGGCAGTCTCTTGGTAAATGAGTACCTTCTTATTTTGTACAGGTAATTTCCCTTTTTGTAATCAATTTTTGTTGGCAAAGTTTTAAATTAAAGTTTTGATCTCTGTTACTGTCTCTGTTTCGCTAAATCATATTTCAGCTCAACACAAGCCTTGTGATCTGTGCGTCTCTGGGGAATGTCTGCCGGCTGCACTGTGACACCACCTCCTGCTGTTGATAAAAGTACTCAAGAAAATGACCTGCTTTTGGGCGGGAGTCTTATCTTCTCTGATCGGTTGCAAAATCGTAAAGGCCTTTTCTTTCTCTGTTTATCACCGTGAGTTTTGACAGTCTGTGTCCTTCCCAGGCTATTATAATTTCACAGCTTCTTTTTGTATACGCAATGATTCATTCTTTATTGTCCTCTGGGAGGAAGTATCCTTCTACTCACCTTCAAACTTTGTGAGATTGATCGAGATCACTTTTCCAGGGGTAAACTTGGTATTCTGCATTACCCCCTCTCTGTCCAGCCAGATGTGCACAGATGCCAGAATTCCTTTTGAGGCCCTTAACTCATTTGGAGACACATTGAGCATCCTCTAAATTACTCTTCTGGTCCTCATGATTCCTCTGACTGCCCTTTTCCTGTTTGTTACCGTAGAGGCACCAAAGAAGATCACGGACTTGGTACATATGGCACTGTGTCAATTTGTTGTACTCCTTGAACTGGAAAGTCTTGGTCCATACTGAATGCCCCAGACAGAACAGCATGGCAAGTGTGCGCCTTTCAGTTTTGCTCCAGCCGCATAAAGAGTCAGTGGAAAAGGCAGGAATATGAAATCAAATACTTCTAAAATGCTTCATCTTTCATTCCTATTGCTTTGTCCTGGCGACAGCTCCTGTCTCAACACGGCTCGCTAATGTGGTGTTGCCAGTGACTTAATGAGGAACTGGACCTGTTGCTTCATTTTGTCATCTAATTGTCGCATTAGGAAAACAGAGAGGCTTTAATTTGCAGAATAGCATATTGTTTGCAATACGACATAAGATTCTTTCTGTGTTTATATATTACCGTGTACCTTTATCAGGGAGGAAGACTGCTTTGCCTTGATGGTTAAGGTAGTGAGCTGGAGAGAGAAATACTAATTTACAGTCTGAAGCTTCTGATGTTACAAGTCACCTAATGGCTTTGTAATCCTGTTCTGCATCCATAAAATGAAGATGATTCATATTCTTCCTTGTTCTGTGCTAGGCTTAGGATGATGGATCAATTTGTACTTGCTGTAGTATGGCAGAGCACTAATTTTGGTGAAAATGTTCTTAGCATTGCCATCATCTGCAGTAGTAAACAGCTTTTCTTGTTTTGTGTGTCCCTAGATTCTTATTTTGCCATGGGTGATAGTAACGGTGTGACTTGAAACTCAGAATTGAGTGTATTGTCATGGTTTTGTTAATGAAGTTAAATGTGTTATGTGCATATTAAGCAGAAGTACTTACATCTAAAAGGTGACGATGTGCTGTTTTCTAGGATTGAAAAGATGAAAAGACGTCAGCTGCTTTTATTTTTCAAGCACGGTTTTTTGGTGATGAAAGGAGTTCTGTTCGCAGCAGTGGCTCACCCTTTCATCATCTGGAACACGGTCTAGGAGGAGTGATTACAACACTTGTGAGCAAAAGTTACATAAAAGGAGCTGTAACTGTGGGATGCTGGCAGGGCCTCTGCAGAATCTTCTTGATGTTGGGGGAAAAACGTGATGATGAAACCTTAATTTTGGTGCTTGGAGGTGGTTTGGGTTTTTTTGTTTTGTTTTTCCCTCCAGAGCCCTAAGCCCTTGCAAAATGCCACTAGAGCTCAAATTGGCTCTTAAGGCCAAGTTTCTCTGGACTGCTGACTATCAGCCATAGGTCTTCTGTGATGAAGATCATGGCAACTGGAGGCAGCGTTTGAAAACAAAACCACCGCAACCAGTCTTCTTGCATCTGAATGTTTACATTTATTTCTTAAAAGAAATGTGTAGTCAGTCCCTGGACTGGCCATGGATTAAAGGACAGCGGGCAGATCCCTGTATTAATGGCTTCTTTGGCTTGTCATTGTAACTGGAGGTGTGAGGATGTTTGCCTGCACCAGCCCTTGGACTTGCCAAGCCGCCTGGTAAGTCTTTTCACACCACAGAGTTTAGGTCACCTTGCAATAGCTAGTTAAATGTAGAAAGTTTCTTTGCAGTAGTGTTTCCCTTTGCTTTCAAGTTAGGGTATTGGCTAGCCGTAGTTAACCCTGACAGACCCCTCGGGCTCTTTTAAAATCAAAATACCCTCACGTACTCTGCCACAACACTCTTAGTCATATGGTTTAGTTTTAGGTAATCCTGCAAGGAGCACGGAGTTGGAATTGATGATCTTTATGGGTCCCTTCCAACTTGAGATGTTCTACGATACTCCCAACTGGAAAGGCTTTGTGTAGCACTTGTCTTCATTAAGACTTCCTTGACTGGCACCGCTCAGCGTTGGTGCTGTAAAAACTCTAGCAGGCAATTAGGTAGAAAGTTCATTTCACAATCATAAGAGGGGAGATTAAGGGGTCTCCTTGTTGCCCGTCCCTCCCTGTGCAGTGGGCCAGTGTGCTTTTCCTCTTGGATGAGGCTGGAGGGGCTGTTGCCTTCTTGCTGTCCATATGGTGCTCCTGCATACTGCTGTTCCTATACAAAGGAGAGGGTCTCAGATCAGTGCGATCAAAACTGTTTGGGTTGCCTGATGCTTGGGCAGTGGTGCGTGCGTATAGCTGCAGGCTGTGGGGAGTGATTATTGTGACAGAGGAATGCAACTCAGGTTATGTCATCGCTGCTTTTTATTTTAATGAAAATACAGTATGTGTATGGTGTTGGTGGATGTATGAGGTAGAGAAGCCTAAGGTACCTATTTTTGGAATAAAAAAATATTTTAAACTGGCCGGGAAGGGATCTAAAGATGCTGAGAAGTTGGTTTTTAACTGGACTTGAGAATGGGAAAAAGGATTGAATTCATTGTCTGATCAAAGAATGTTTTTCAAAGTGCTTTTTCCCCAAGATGGGCTCAGAAGTGGCAATCTCCGCTCAGGCTGCAGAGAAAAGCAACGCCTGTCTCTGTCCTCATCTACTGAATCCTTAACCCCACAGCGGG